GCAGAACCGTTCCGAACCGTTCTGGAGGTCTGCAGAACCGTTCCGAACCGTTCTGGGGACCTCTGCGCTAAGAAAATTGTCACGTAAATTGGTTCTCTGTGCCAAGAATCCCGGGAATAGGAAGGCACGGACAAGGTTGAGCCATTCCGGATGCATTAGTCCCAACCTGAAAGTAACCCATCATCACCCTCAAGAACCCCACCGCTAGCGCTATATATATATATTCTGAAAAGTATCAAATCATGGTCCAAGAAATTATCGGCAGCTATATACAATATAGTTTGTTTCTTGTATGGGTAGTAGCACGGTAGTAGCAACAGTCTTGCCAGAGTGACAAAATACCAACAATATAGCCTGGATGTTGCACTGCTACCGCTACTGCATATTTTTGATCCAGTCCAGAACTGGTGGGGAAAAAGACAGCAATGGGAATGCAGCCAACAACCGCATTGCCTTTGTTCTTTTTGTGAAAAGGGAAGTCACATAATCCCAACAGCCTGAACACATTGCAGAAGCCAGCTCAGCGCGCCCAAACACACATGGACTGCCTTCCAAATAATTGAAATTACATATTGATAGAATTCGACTTCAGCGCCTGTTCCTTCCACCTAAGTATTTCTCCAATTGCGCTTAAACCGCCTGAATCTTCCCTCAAACAAATGCAGCATCATAAATTAAACCCACTATCTGTATGCGGGTTGTGTATTTATTCAAGGTTTCAAGTATTTGGGGCAAGGTTGTTAAGTAATCAAAGCTGAATTTGGCCCAGTCTCACACTAGAAAATTAATTAGCTGCAAATAGAATTCCACTTCGGCGTTTGTTTCTGTCGCCTGAGTATGTCTCCCATCTTGAAGAAAAAGCAAGCCATATTTTCACCCAAATGCCAGCCCCAGACTAGAATTTGGAATACATAATCTACTTAAGCGCACATAGAATTCTACTTAGGCGTCAGTTTGTGACGCCTAAGCAAAATTTTGTTTGCGCCGAAGTAGATTAGGATTATGTTTTCCAACAGCCCCAGACTAGATTTCTATTTGCGCATAAGTAGATTATGAATATAAATTATGTCTTCCAACAGCCCCAGACTAGAATTTGGAAGACATGGTCTAATTAGGCGCAAATAGTAATAGAATTCTACACTTTTTTGCGCCAAAGTGGATTATGAATTATGTCTTCCAACAGCCCCAGGCTAGAATTCTATTTGCGCCTAAGTAGATTATGACTACGTATGAATTATGTCTTCCAGCAGCCCCAGACTAGAATTTGGAAGACATGGTCTAATAAGGCGCAAATAGTAATAGAACTCTACTTAGGCGTTAGTTCCTGACGCCTAAGCAGAATTCTTTTTGCGCCCAAGTAGATTATGAATTTTGTCTTCCAACAGCCCCAGACTAGAATTTGGAATGCATAATCTATCTGGCGCAAATAGAATTCTACGTAGGCGTCAGTTCGTGACGCCTAAGTAGAATTTTATTTGCACCTAAGATTACCTAAGTAGATTTAGTTTTCAAAAAAAAGACCGAAACATAAGTTCACCCCAATCTCACAATCAGAATTTTATATCTATAGACTGTGGATCAGATAGGTATAAAGTATCCATGGCAAGTTTTTGTTTTTAGCAAAACTGAATTCATCACCGGTCCACAATACAAATTCAATTTAGGTCAAGTACTTCACGACTTTGAGTACAAACCCAGATTGATGAATTTGGATGTGTCCTCGCTGTGTGCATTGTTTTGTTTCTTTACTTCTTCAAAAGCTTGCTAATTTTCCCTTGACATGGTTTCTAACATCACCTTCTATAAGATATCCTTATTGCCCTGGTTTCTTCCATAATCCTTTCCATAGTTCCCTCCATGGTCCACAAGGCCCACAGGTTAAGAGGCTAAAGTTTGAAATAATATAATATATATATATATATATATATGGTCCTTGATCTGGGAGCCTCCACAAAGATAGGGAAAAACACAGACATGGACATGTTTCACTATTTTTTAGTAGGTCTTTACCAACTTGTTTATCTCTTGTTTTTGCATATCGTTGTTAACATACATGTTATTTCAATGTATCATATTGATTTACGCTGTTGTACTAAATGATAATCTCTAAGGCTACTCTAATGAGTCAAGTTGTTGGCAATGCTAGATGACTAGATGCAACCCATTTACTTGTGATCTCTCATTATAGGTTGTCTCTCAAATCATGATTAAACAAAACATACAAATAATTACTGTTATGATTGGCTTAGGTATATACATACATATATAATCACATATATATATATATATATGTGGGTGATGTACATGTAATATGTATATAGATAATGTATAATCATATATTCTACTCGTAAGGTGGTGAAGCCAAAGCCAGAACCCTCCAATCATATATTTTACATTTACAACTGGAAGCATCTGATTTTCTCATATTTTCTCCAGAAGCATCAACCAAATTGGGCGTCATATAGCGTCAATTTTAGGGGCGCCAGCCGCAGGATCCAAAAATCAGCTGGGGACAAAGACCACTGGTAGCAAGCCAGCACGTAAAACCACTTCAGTCAGATCCTGGCATCCACCGTGAATCCAGGAATCAATGGGAGATCTCCAGGATCCTAAAATGGAGGTACTGTACCATTTTTCAGGCCTTATTTTCTTGGGATATTCCCTTACATAGGCCATAGGCCCTTGAAGGAAATAACATGAAATAAGCACCGAATCTGACGGATCCAGGGCCTGACGATGAGTGAATCTGACGGATCCTTCCCAGAGATTCTGTCAAGACATCCGACTCGCGGTATTAGTCAAGATAGATCCGCCAAATAAGTTCAGGCTATATAACTTGGACTTATGCTATATATATATATATATATTGCTATATAATTAAATATATATATATATATTATATATATGTATCGTGCATCTATAGCGGGGGCTGGCAACTAATGCGTTAATCCAACTTGTAATCCAAATTGGAATCCAACTTAAAATCCAACTTATAATCCGTATATACCTCATCCACAGTAGTATAGTCTTTGGTTTCTATTCATGTTTTCAGTATTCCCATGTATTCCACAAACATTTCTATGGATTTCCCCCAAGAACTGTGCTTCCTCTGACCGACTGTATCTCATCAGGTCCAACCTTAGCGGCTGCGGCTTCAGCCGCTTGGCGGTCAACTGGGGGATACCAATCATTGGAAAATGCCAAGTCTGACACATATGGATATCATACATATATATATATATGTGTGTGTGTGTATTAACTAAATATCAAATATCATTAGGATATATTATTGAATATGACAGTCACATGTGCATAACTCATCATAACAGCTGCCATACTAGGGTCTGTTGATAGAACATATAATAATATATCATGTCCAAGACCATCAAAAACAATGAATTTGTGCCATCAAAAACTCAAACACGTCATGGTGCATTGTCAAACACATCATGGGATTTCTCAACACGAATAAGTGCTCCACTCTGGATACGGATGACTCCGAACTTCCGAAGCACTTGACACCAACAGAGCCCCGGCCGCAAGCTCCATGTGCCCATGTGCCATGGTCAAAAAGTATATGGTTTATGATAACCCATTGCATACTGGGAATTTTTATCATGGGCATATGTGTATTTAATTGTAATATATATATATATATTAATTCCCCGTTGATTCCTTAATGACCCAGGTGTTTAATCCAACTGCTTACCATGGCACATATGGGAATCCGAGAAAAACACTGGCCACAATCTACCCATGGCGAATAGGGTGCCAATCGACCCACAATGGAGTCATAGCCGCCACTGGCCCACATGATAAGCATAACTAAAATCAAATCAACTATTGCAGCCCAAAAAGAGATGAAATTCAGATACTTTTAGTAGGATGAACATGTATCAAATTCATATATATATATATATTTGGAACTGGTTATTTTATTATATAAGCCGTATATGGGGGGGTTCCTAACATAGGGCTACCCCAAATCATCCCAAATCATCCAAGTCATGGATGACCATTTAATATAGTATTGAAACAACCGTGGTGACTTTGGGTACCTCCATGACTTTGGAAACCTCCATATGATCCAGCTACTAACCACTACTAACCACTTAGGACTCATTCGGATTTTTCAGTAGAAACATGTATATACCATCCAGCTATATGGGGGGAGCTATAGGGGGGACCCCTATGACTTAGGAAGCTTCCATATATATATATATAGATACATTATATACATCCTGCAAAGTAACACTTTGATGTGGAAAAGCCACCATTTGTCGATCATTTTCTTGGGGAAACCATTCGTTTTAACCACATCTTTTTGTATGTTTACTAACCCCCGGGTTTCCACATCGATTTCCGCCATGGGATAGAAGCAATCTGCCCAGGGTGCCAAGCAAATGTGACCAGGAATGCTGCCATTTGGCGATCATCTTTTCTTCACCTTCCTGCGCAGTCTGTTTTCCGGAGAAATTGACTAACTTTATGATGGGATTTCATCGCTTTTAATAGGATTGAATGGGATTTGACCATCAATGGGGATTTAATGGGATTTGACCATCAAAAATGAGGATTTAATGGGATTTGACCATCAACAATGGGGATTTAATGGGATTTGATGGGATTTGATGGGATTTAATGGAATTTAATGGGATATTTCATCGGTTTCAAGGAAGAAATTACTGGGCTTTCATATGCTGTAATGGGTTGGATACCCTCTAGTGTCATGGAGCATGGCTGGAAATTCCTGCCACAAAATGGCATCTCAATGGGAAAATCTTCTATAAATATCTATCAATCGGGAATTTCCAATTGCCATATTCGATCAAAATATGTGGGCATCTGCATATTGCACATGTACAAGTAGATATTCGAAAAAATTGCAGCCGATACTTGCATTTGTCTAATTGCACATGTTCTGGGCACGTCGCATACCAAAAACATACCAGTACCACAACGAAGCACTGCACCCCACGGTCAGCAGGCAGCCGGCCACATTTTTTTACCTAGGTCTCGCGAAGTCGTCCCTTCCAAAGGTATTCAGAACCATCGCCTCTGCCATTCAATTGGTAGACCACCACATCCTTGGTCGAGCGCTGGCCCCTCTAGACTCCAGACATGGTTTCCTGCAAAATTGGATGTTTTTTGGATCGAAATCCATGGTTTTGATGTATTTGAAGTTTGGAATATGCCCCCCCCCCCAAAAAAGGCATTCCACCATGTGAATCCACAGACCTTTCAGGGATAAGAATTTAAGTACTTGACATGTCCCATCCGATTGGAATTTTCTAGCGAAACTTAAGGTGAATCCTCCAAGGAGTCCTCACAAACCAAAGAAAAACATGTACCACCTGGTTATCATTAACATAGCTGGCTGGAAAATCCCTTATAAATGGAGGTTTAAAACTGGGAAAATCATCTATTTCTATGGGCCATCTATACCATGGCTATGTTATAGTCATAACCAGAGGGTATACTGTAAATATATATATATATAAATATGTGTTACATCAACCTATCTCCGTTTATTCAATTTAACCCTCCAAAATTAGAGACATGGCTTTACAATACAACTGGGTTTACCACAGTTAGTTTTTCAATTGCTCCAGTGTGTGAAGGTTGACCATGGCAGGGGGATGGGATAGGGACACTGCCCAGTTACTCGAAAGAGCGCCCCCTGTGACAAAGTCAGGGCGAAAGCCACCAATGGAGACGTCCTTGGCCGACTACTTTTGAACATAAATGACACAGCTATTTCCATGTAGGTGTTTTTTGGGGGTAAGCGAAACATAACATGTATTGTGTATATAATATAATCACGTGTACTAAATTAGGTCATACATCACACGTGGATGATTCGGGATACGCAAATTAGAAAATTCTAAAGGGCTGCAACGTGACGTATACGAAAGAAACTGTGCTCTTTTTGTTGGGTGCTTTAAATATAATTCCAATTGTTGAACATTTATAGTTCCATTGGTTAAATCAACCGTTTTAATATCCCATTAAACCGCATAAAAAAAAAAAAACATTAAATCCCTTCAAATCCTCTCAAATCCAATCAATTTCCATTAAATATCAATGATAAATCTCAAAACATACCATTATGAATCCCATAACACCATATAATATCCCAGTAAATCATAGTAAATCCCTTTATTTGATGATAAACATCGATATAAATCTCAAAACACCCCAGTATATAAATCCCTATATTTCATGATGAATATCCCCTATGCTTCCAGCTTTTCTCACTGAACCCTCGACCGAAAAAAACTTTTGGCCTTTTCCGCAACACCAAGGCACGCGGCGACCTCGCTCAAGGTGCCTCGAAAGGGGTTGGGGGGTGCCATTCAATCAGTTCATACATATCCCATAGGATCCATGGTGCTGGATGGTGCTGGTACATATGCTAACATAAAGGGGGTATATTGATGGGATTCATGTTACCATTTTTTTTGGCAGCACCATGGATCCTATGGGTATTGTATTAATATATCTCTCTCCATCGCCATCCCGAAGGGTCAGCTAAGGCTGAGGGCGAGCACATGTGAAATATATGTTAATATATGTTAATACCCATGAATATTCCATGAAAAACTATTACCCTCTGGTAATCTGTTACGGTTTGCTATTGAACATTGCCATATAGAAATAGTTGATTTACCCATAAATGGAACATGTCCATAGCCTTCCATAGCTATGTTAGTTTACTAGAGGGTAATACCCAATGAACATTCCATGAATAACTATCTCTAATCATGGATAAACATGATCCATGAATACCAAACTATATAACTATCCAATCAGAAAAAATATTGAATAAGATTGGCCAATATTGCCAATATCCAGTTAAACTCAATGTAATCATGGTTTGGATACTTGTGGTGAATATAAAATTGTATGTTAGGGATTCATCCATGAACGTTGTAAAGTCACATCAGGCGGAGGAACACTTAATCAACATCAATAAATGAATCTTAAAGGGCTATGACTGGTATTAACTAACGTATTGTCCATTCAATCAGTTTTCATATCCATTTAATGCAGTGAATCATTGGACACCTGTAAAGATTTTCAGCCAACTCCAGGTCAACATTCATCTCCTTCATCCTGAATTCAGGTGGGAAAATGATGTGTTCAAAATGTCAACCATCAAATTGTCAGTCCATTTTTGGGGGAGCCCTAAAGTGCTATGGACGCTTAGCGCTTATTTGGCGGATAGAGTATATACAAGACTTACCAGGTGCTGCGCGGCGTTTGCTTGACAGCGAAAGGTTTGAGGGCGTGCCCGTCTCTTCATTCCAAGAGCGCTTGTGCACGCTTTGGCAGGGAGGTAAAAATATATGAAAGTGAGTTGGTTTCTGCTTGATGAAAGTGAGTTGTTGTCTTTTGACCATCAGTTCCGTCACAGAATCTGCAATTTTGGGCGCCTCACCTCGCCAGCGCTTTTTTCTAGCTGTGGCAACTGGTGACGCTGCTGATGCCAAACACGAAAAACTTGTGCTCCCAGAATAGTTTTGGGTGCTAAAACCTTCGCTGATGAAATTCATTCGCTGTGTAGCAAGGCATGATGTAGAGAAGACCAAGCAGCGTAGCATCATGAAGACAAGACCAAACAGCGTAACACGATCTGATGTAACAACATTAAGCAGCATAACATCAGTTAGGGAAGGTCAAGCAGTGTAGTTTGACGTGGGGAATCATGCAGCGTAGCATCGTGAGGGCAAGACCGAATAGCACAGTATGATACAGAGCACATTAAGCAGCATCACATGAGGTAGGGAAGCCCAAGAAGCCTAACAAGAGGTAGAGAAGGTCAAGCAGCGTAGCAGCATGAAGACCAGACAAAAAACTCAACAATATATATATATATATAGAACACAAGCAACATAACAAAGGAAGCTCAAGAACGTAGCATGAGGTATAAAAGATCAAGCAGCGTACCGTCTTGATGACAAGATCAAACAGCATAACATGGTACAGGGAACACCAAGAAACATAACATGCGGTAGGGAAGGTTCAGCAGCGTAGCATGAGGTAGAGACAATGAAGCAGCGTGGCATTATGAAGACCAGATCGAGTAGCATAACATGATTCAGAGAAGATCAAGCAGCTTAACATGACGCAGGGATAGGCAGGGGAGATCAAGCGGCAGCATGAGGCGGAGAAGATCAAGCAGCCTAGCACCATGCAGACCAGATCAAAAAGCACAACCTGATGTAGGGGACATCAGGCAGCGCAACATGAGGTAGTCAAGGTCGAGCAGTGTAGCATCGCCAAGGCAAGATCAAACTATCAAAAATCAAAGATCTGATGTCGAAAACACCAAGCAACAGGAGGTAGGGCGGGTGGTGAAGCAGCGTAGCATGAGGAGGATAAGATCAAACAATGCAGCAGCGCGCAGCGTGAAACAAAAACAGAAAGCATAACACGATTTAGGGGACATTAAGCAGCCTGACATGAGGTGGGAAGGCCCAGCAGCGTAACAGGAGATAGAGAAGACCAAGCAGCCTAGCATCATGAAGAACAGATCAAATTTCATAACCTGATGTACACGACATCAAGCAGTTTGACATGAGGTAGGGAGGGTGAAGCAGCGCAGCATGAAGTAGATAAGATCAAGCAGCCTGGCACCATAAAGACAAGATCCGGTAGCCTAACATGATACAGAGAAGACCAGGCAGCAAAACATGGCTTTGTTAAAGGCAAGCAGTGTGGCTTGATGTAGAGAAGATCAAGCAGCGTAAAAAACACGAAGACAAGATCAAAAAGAATAACGTGGTGAAGAAGGCGTCATGAGGCAGGGAAGGTCAAGCAGCGTAGCATGAGGCAGAGAAGATCAAGCAACGTATCATCATAAAGACAAGACCAAAGAGCATATGGCATAACAACTTCGAACATCAAGAAAGTCAAGAAGCACAACATCAGTAGCGAAGGCCAAGAAACGCAATATGAGAAAGATAATATCAAGCAGATCGGCTTGATAAAGAATTTCTCGCACGCCTCCAGCGCCTCCAGCACCTCCAGCGCCTCCAGCGCCCTCAGCGCCCTCAGCGCCCTCAGCGCCCTCAGCGCCTTCAGCGCCCTCAGCGCCTTCAGCGCCCTCAGCGCCTTCAGCGCCCTCAGCGCCTTCAGCGCCCTCAGCGCCTCCAGCGCCTCCAGCGCTCAGCGCCCTCAGCGCCCTCAGCGCCCTCAGCGCCTTCAGCGCCTCCAGCGCCCTCAGCGCCCTCAGCGCCCTCAGCGCCCTCAGCGCCTTCAGCGCCCTCAGTGCCTGTCCAGCGCCCTCAGCACCCTCAGCGCCTTCAGCGCCCTCAGCGCCTCCAGCGCCTCCAGCGCCTCCAGCGCCCTCAGCGCCCTCAGCGCCCTCAGCGCCTTCAGCGCCTTCAGAGCCCTCAGTGCCTTCAGCGCCTTGAGCGTCTCCAGCGCCGTCAGCGCCTTCAGCGCCCTCAGCGCCTCCAGCGCCGTTAGCGCCTTCAGCGCCTTCAGCGCCCTCAGCGCCCTCAGCGCCCTGAGCGCCTTCAGCGCCTTCAGCGCCTTCAGCGCCCTCAGCGCCTCCAGCGCCCTCAGCGCCCTCAGCGCCTTCAGCGCCCTCAGCGCCTTCAGCGCCTTCAGCGCCCTCAGCGCCCTCAGCGCCCTCAGCGCCTTCAGCGTCCTCAGCGCCTTCAGCGCCCTCAGCGCCCTCAGCGCCCTCAGCCCCCTCATCGCCCTCAGCGCCCTCAGCGCCCTCAGCGCCTTCAGCGCCTTCAGCGCCTTCAGCGCCCTCAGCGCCTCCAGCGCCCTCAGCGCCCTCAGCGCCTTCAGCGCCCTCAGCGCCTTCAGCGCCCTCAGCGCCCTCAACGCCCTCAGCGCCTTCAGCGCCCTCAGCGCCCTCAGCGTCTTCAGCGCCTTCAGCGCCCTCAGCGCCTTCAGCGCCTTCAGCGCCTCCAGCGCCCTCAGCGCCTTCAGCTCCCTCAGCGCCCTCAGCGCCCTCAGCGCCTTCAGCGCCTTCAGCGCCTTCAGCGCCTCCAGCGCCTCCAGCGCTCCTACTTATCATCGACTCTTATGTAAATACTGGTAGCTGCTAACTGCCAAATAGCCTCGAACTGTCCATCGTACGGAGCCCTAAACCCTATTTTCAAACAGACTTATATGTGCCAGATTTTGGGGGGTCCCCTATTTTCAAACAAACCTATATAATCCTATATGCATATATATATATATATGTGTGTGGGGGTATCCTGAACTGTTGGATCCCCAGTCGTCACCATGGTTGTTTCAATACCAGTCGTCATCATCCATGATGACTGGATGATTTGGATTTGGGGCAAGCCTCTCTACCCCTATTTTCAATCAAATCCCATAACATCATATTAGAAAATATGTATCTGGTTGGTGGTTGACCACAACCCCTCTGAAAAAATGATGGAGTGAGTAACAGTTGGGATGATGACATTCCCAATATATGGAAAGTCATCAAATTGCGTGGTTCCTGTCACCACCAACCAGATATGATCCCTGTACATCCCCAGAATATTACAGTATCTATTATTAGTATATTAATATGTAGTCTGTGGTAGTTTTCCCCATCACCCTGGGATTATCCCATCACTTCCCCCTTCAACCCGCAACCCCCCGGCACGTGACCAACTCGCTGGGCGGAGCCCATGGATGCGAAGAACTCCAAGGCGGCTTGGTTATGGGCATCGACCACGGCCTAGGTTGGTGTGAAAATTAAGGGGTAAAACCATGGAAAAATAAACTAGATCCATTGGTTAATCATGATTGCCCTTATTAAAATGTTTTAAAAACTGTGGGGTATACCGGTATACCACATTTTGAGACAAACGGATGTGTTACTGACTGTGTTACTCTTTTTCTGACCACCTAGCCTCAGAAAGGGTATTGACAACCCATGGAGGTAATTCTCCGCAAACGTGGGAAACATCATGGGCCTTAGATGTCCTTAGATGTCCTTGGGCAAGTGCAAAGCGTATAGACCGTATAGACTTGCAGTTATCAATGAGTCAACTGCTAAGACAAGACGCCAACTGCTTTCCTCAACAAAAACATGCATCGATAGGTCATGTTTTTCCCGCCTAAAACCTTCATCTGATACAAAGGCGTTTTTTCTATTTCTGTACCCTCTGGTAATGACTGTTACATAACTATTGAACATGGCCCAGTCGAAATAGTTGATGAATACCCAGTGGATCCAAGTGGCCCAAGCCCTGAATGGATCGCTGCTTTCTTCGCCTTGTCATCCCAGGCTGCCCCCAGGGTCCCAGGCTGCCCAGCTTGTTCTGAGAAAAAGTTGGACTGCAAACTGAGATTGGCATTAGAAAACACTCAAGGATATGAAATTCATATCAGGTTGGCAGCTTAAGGCCATCCCATGGATTATCTTGGAGGTGTCATTAAAATCAAATATGGTTGGTTGACCAACCCCTCTGAAAAATATGAGTTCGTCAGTTGGGATGATGATATTCCCATTGTATGTGGAAGTCATAAAATTCCTGTTCCAAACCACCAACCAGAATAGATGGTTGGAACATGTTTGAACCACCAAAGGCTGCGTACAAAACATCGTACACCATCGACCCATCTGGGATATTGGGATGCCCTTCATGTGCGTCAGCCGATTGGGATCGTCAAAAGTAACAACTATGTAGGATGGAGAAGAAATAAAAACATGAGACGATCATGAAACTACCAAATAGTTTATCTTATATAACTAGGTTAGTTCGATGGTTTTTGGGTATAATATATATGTGGAACAAAACATGCTACCAACCGATCCTACCCACTACATTCCACTACCATCATCTGACCCTTTCAGAAAAGGCACCCGGCAAGCGATGCAATAATTCTGTCACCAGTTCTCTTCCTATGCCCTTTCGGCGCAACGAAGGGGCGACCTGGCACAGAGTTGTCACTTTAAAAAGTATGTGTTTCTCTTGGCCCAAGTATGGCACATCATGGTATATCCATTTCATTCCATTTCTTGTGACGTTGGCAACATCTAATTACAGTATATAAATCTATATACATATTAATTAATTAAATGTATATATATATATACATACATAGGTAGAGACATCAGTTTCAATATGTTTCTTCGGTACAGCCGCGCCACCACCTGCGTATGGGTCATGTAAAGCGGGGACGACGGGTCAATACGACGTCGAGTCAAGTCGCCAAAACTAGGTTGATCACCTGAGGCCAAGGAAAAGGTGTGGTTACACGGTGTGGTTTCCGGACGTTTCCGGTGTGGAACATATATGGAGTGGGAATGACGGCAAGGATCTACTTTCCTATCCAATGCTTATACGTCCTTGTTCGATGACCGAAAGCAAAGCTAAAGCAAAATGATTAAACAATAAAAATTAAACAAACTACAAATTATCAAAGATCAAATGGGACACTTCCAACACCATGCAAAGTCGCAGAAGCCCTCACCAGTCACCAAATCCTTCTGAACATGTGGGGCTTTAGATACAAAAGCTCAAACAAACAAATTTGGTTGATGCTCCAACAAGTTTCCATGAGGTTACTTCGGACGCAAGGTCTCAAATGCGGCTTTGGTCGACAAGGGGGGAGCCAATCCCCACCCCAGCAATCAGCTGTGGTTTTCTTACCCCAGCGTCTAACATCAATCAATTACTGAATGAAGTTGTTGACTGTTTTAGGCTAAGTCAAAAGAACATCTGAAAGCAATTTTCCGGATAATTCCCCACTCTTCACCTCTATCATGATGTTGGCCAGGGTTCCGTTGCAGGAAAACATGCCCAGAACCAGAACCATGAAGTTGATTGTTATACAAAATGAACATCTGGTAATCAAATGAATGGTTAGTTAGTTCATGGTAAATCCATGGAAATCCCCTATGAATTGTGGATTTATGGCTGGCAAATCTATTATCAAATTCCAGATTTTCCCGTTCAAAACATGGCTGAGCCAAGTGTGTCAAGTCACAAAGTCGCAGCGCAGCACAAAGTAGCCGCACACCGCCAAACGACCCAGTTGTGCGCAGCCGACCAGCTCCTGGACTGAAAAATCATCCTGGCTCTGGCCTCGCTCCCCCTAGATTTATAGCCCAAGTGGTTCGGCTGGTTCAGCTCCTGCCCCTTGAGAGCCGCCACATAGGAGGCATAGCCCTGCCCAAACCTCAAGAATCCAAGTGCGTTTTCACTGTAGGATGGGTTTTTCGACCGGGTACAGCTTGGGGCATCCCAAATCATCCGCAATTAGATCATCTTAGTATTGAAACCCATGAAACCCATGGTCATTTGGGGATCACCCATTGCAAGAAAAGTCTAGAAAAGTCTATAAATAAACAATGGTAAATTATGAACTTTTGCCATGGTTGTCCCATGTTTTCCCTATGGTCTTTCCTTTTTAGTAACAAGGATCTGTTTTTCTTTTTGGGCCATAAAACTCTCGACCCTTCGAGGCCATCGACCAAAAAAAAGTGTCGCAACTGAAATCCGTAGACTTTGCACTGGAAACAATGAAACACTCGAATCATCGTGAGTTATTTGTCTATTATGCGATGTTGATTGAGTTGTTGAGAATTACTTTGACCTAAGTTAGCCTATCTTGGCCTATTTTAGCCTTGACCGTAGTTTACTTTGAGTTGTTGGAGTTCCTGATGCTCTTGCTTTTGTTTCTCTACGGAGGTAGCCACCGACAATTGCTAGCAATAAGTTTTTTTCGGCCTTGATCTCCTTGATATGTTTTCACACCTGCTAAAAAAAAATGTGGGTCGTCCAGCCCAGAGCTTCAATATCCGTGTCATGACCAAGTGAGAAATGGCCAATGGCCATCCAAATCGGGGTTCCTCCGATCATCCCCAGCGCGCGGCCATCCGATGAAACTCCTCCCCGTCATGTGGCAGCCGCTGAAGTGGCACTACACACTCATCCAGCTCACCTTGGGATGTATGTTGGTATCGAGAATCATGGTGATGAAAAAACATGTTTAAGCAACTTGAATTGATCATGTGATTGTTGTTTTATGATTATTATTCAGCCAACTGATTTCCTTGATGCATTGTGTTTACATGCCAAGAAACATTACAGTAGGTGGAGTGCTAGAATGATATAGAATGATCTTAAAAACCTATATAACCGATTTAGCCACCTACTAAATGAGCATTGTCCCAATGACGCACCAGTTGCACTTCCAAATGCCATCACAAGTTTTCGAAGTCCCAACTATGGTCATCAATGCATGTCCTCCAATATGTTCTAGCTCTTGAACACAGATGGCCAATGGCCATCAAATCGTTACTGACTATAAATTTGCATAGAAGTAAACAGAAATTGTTAGAGACAAACATGCTCAAAGGAGAATCATGGGTAGTGTGATGGCAACATGAAACTGCACCATTGTTGATGAAGAGACGCGCGACCTGGACTTGACTACTCAGCCACTAGGAAAGTCGAAATGACACATCCGACCCCAACAAAACATGAGGGAAATATCAATATCTAAAGGAGAAACACATATAAAAAAGTATATACCCTCTGGTAAACTAACATAACTATGGAAAATCATCATTTTTAATGGGTAAATCCACTATAAATAGCAATTTTCAATAGCCATGTTAGTTCACCAGAGGGTAAAATTCATTGAGATTGTTTGCCCCTCCTCTTGGTAAACCGTCTTTTCTTTCAATCAATTCAAAGACATCTTCGCAGCGGGGTTCAGATGGAGCCCTTTACCTTGGCTTTGGCGAAACGTGTAGAGGTTCTCCATCTCCTGGACGACCGTCGACAGCCAGCTGGCTGGAATCTGCCCGAACTAAATGGGTGTTAAATCACTGGAGAGTATATAATACATATTCACAGTTTAATACATTTTAAGCTTCCCTTCTGAAAGGGCCTATAATCGGGTGGCTATGGAACAAACCGAAACATGTTCATGATTTGTATACATGTATCTGTATACATGTGATACATATATATACACATTTAAACAATTATTTATATATATATATTGTAAATAAATATACATATATATATATATATATTGTATATATATATATATATATTGTAAATATATATATATATAGAGTGTATATTAAATATGTATATATATATATATGTACATAATTAAACATACATATTCATCTTCACTTGGTATGGTATGGTACAAATATGCCCCGTGCAGGAACCATGACCATATGAATCGCTTTAACCATCGCAATGGGCAATCGTGTTCTGTTCGCACAAATTGCGGGCTCTTCCCGGTAAAATGGCACTCGGCTCTCCTCTGGTCTTAGCAAACGCACCTGCCGAGAGTGCAGGGTGTTTCCCCATTCCCCAGTTCTAAGAGGTTGAGGAAAAACACAGAGGACAGCCTGAACATGAACCATAAAAGGACGATATCTTTCGGGATGGCTGGACAATGAAGCCAAGATCCTGGAAATTACCATGAGCTTGCAGTATTGAACGATTGAGTGATCTTTGATGCACATCAGCTCCAGAATAGCTCTGATCAGTTGCCAAACACATCTTTCTCCGGAGTTTTGCCCTTGGAACTTGGAACACCCCTTTCTGGATGATTAAACCCTATTATATATATAAATATGTATACATATATATATATATATGTATATATATATATATACATCATATACCATATGAATCCACATTAAACAACATTAAACCATCGTTTTTGATGCTTCACCCCCTATTGATTTGATGCCTCGGCGGTCGCTGCCAGGGATTGGCTTCGCTGTGCCATGGCTTCGCGGCAGATGGTGGAGCCTGGGCGCCTGACAGATCGGAGCTCATCATCACCATGGGAAAACCATAGGAAAATCATAGGATAATGGAGGTTTATCCACTAGAAATAGGGGTTTTATATGGTTTTATATGGGAAAATCATAACAGATTATATATCATTCACCAGGGTGGATATTTATAACAGATAATATAATCATTCATATGATATCATAACAGATTATATTAATAATCATTAAATTATATCAATGATATGAATGATCGATATTACCATCTGGTTACGACTAACATAGCCATGGTATAGATGGCCCATAGAAATACATGGTTTACCTATTATAAATGGTGATTTTCCATGGCTATGTTAAGTAACAAGATGGTATATAATGTCAAGTTAGTATTAATAAATCACCCCCTATAAATCAACACCCACAGGGCCAGAAAGTTCCGGCAATTTGAAAACGGGTTGGACCCCTCCTATTAATAAGCACAAGTGTCTCCACCCAATTAATCAACACCCTGCTCACAATTCTGATTTTTTTTGATGCCTATGATGCTTGAGAATGGAATTGGCTCTGATGTGATGATTTCTGATGCTAGCTGATGAATACAGTGTCCAATCTATAATTATATGTATATGTAAACAATTGTAAACATATTATATATATACATGTGAAGCTTACGTTTATTTACAAACATATACACACATATATCTAGTCTATATATATACTTGTTCAGCACAATCATTTCACTGAATCCCCCAAATCCACCAAAAAAAAACAAAAAAATGAAGGTTTGAACATGCATTTTCCTTATTACTTTCTTTATAAACAAAGTGCATTTTGAGAAGGTCACCAAGGGTACACCTTTAAGTGGCTTCTTGTCCCAAAATAATTTGCATGTATCCACCCAATTAATCAACACCCTCAGCCCACCTGGCCTCATATTGCTGATCATTTCTGCTTTGCTTCATGCATTAATTACATGACAATCTTATGAATCCCATTCCAAATCTCATGAATCCAATTTTGTGTGTTTTTTCTCTTTATTTGGGGGGTCGACCTTCTCCAGCAGAGAGTACTTGGCATTATCCAGCTTGATGGGCGAACGAGAGGCACTCAGAGGCACCCACGACACATCTCACAACCTGGGTTTATTATGTAGTGTCATGTCAAGTCTTTTTATTCATGATTCTTTCCTTAGGCTCCGCACATGACACAAGACAATTGTTGTTCAATGCTATTTATACATAGTACTTAGCCATGGTCATCCACGCAAAACGGCCGAGGGCTGTAGGTGTAACACAACTTCAAACTGCACATGAGTTTGTCTGTAGAATCTTAGGCTATATTAGGTGCCCTTGACTCATCTTGACTTTTCGTGTTTTTTCTTTTTTTTCTCCTGTTTTTCTCAAATTTATCCTGGTTTTACCAGGTTTTACCATTGTTTTACCATTGTTTTACCATTGTTTTACCATTGTTTTACCATTGTTTTATCCATGGCCATGGATCATCACCACTTTCCCTCCCTCTGGCTGGCTCCAAGGTGCGGCTGCAAGATCTGCAAGGTCTGCAAGGTACAGAAGCCAAGGGAAGCCAGGCCGCAGGTCAAGAGGACCTGCCAAAATCGATACCCTTTAGTAAACTAACAATTTGCTATTGAAAATGGCCATAGAAATAGTGAGTTTTCCCATTAATAGCATGGTGGATCTTTCCATAGTTATGGGACAGTTTACCAGAGGGTATCCTATGGATTTCAATGGAAAAAACTCAGGATCCTAACATGGAAGGACCTGGCAATTTTGGGGCGATAAAACTTCTGGAGATCCCATTTAACTGTTGGCTATAGAAATGGCCATAGTTTTGTGGGGATCATCCGTGACATAGGCCTAATTTAAATAGGCCTAAAACACATGGTATGTACCTCCAATCAATCGGTTCCGGAAGTGGCCATTATTTACAGTGTTGAATAAATTGTTCCCAATAAGAATCCCATGTAAACACATCCACAGTATCAAAGTTGATGGCACATATTTCAGGGATTTAGGATGCGCCATCTTTGATCTTATGGACGAGCTTATGCCTAATAATGTTGGCAACCGCCAACAAGCTACCACTTGGAGATGGTTTCAATCCCATAAAAAATGTGATCTTGGGTGATGTTTACTAATTATTGGGTTTTCCGCATCAAGGCTATTTTTAGTGGTTGCCGGTGCCCTAAAGTGCTGATGTTTCAGTTTCACGCCTGCCAGCTGCGCAGCTTATTCGCCATGGCTGTGAGAAGATGAAAGTTCCAAGGTATAGCAACCCATCAAAAAATAGAAACGTAAAATCCCACTGGAATCATTGATGGCAACATACTTTTCTGCATCTTTTTGGGAATTACTTTCTGTTAATAAAAAATAGAGTTTCTTGCGCTTCCAAATGATTTCGCGCCTTTTTATATCTATGATCCAATGGAGTGAGAAAATCACCACCAAAGGTTTGATGATTTCTGGTCTTCCACCCCAGTCTGATGGCTCTCTTGAAACAAGGCGATATTGGGAAAATTCCCCGATCGCCTATCCACCATGATTCCAGGGCGCGGGAGAACAGTGAGGTCACGATACTCATTTGCTCGTAGGGATCATCATGATCAAAACATATCATTCTTCTGGATCTGTCTGAGCCAGCAGCTGCATCCAGTGCTTTAACGGAATTTCTGTTAGTGAGCTCAACGTCCCGTGTTTGGTGCGGTGAAGACCCGCTTGTGTTGCTTAGATCCAAGAATCGATCTCTGTTCTTAAAAGTACCATGTTGTTTCCCATACACCATAAATCACATAACCTATTCTTGTTGTATTCAATTAGTGGTTCTTAAATATTTGTTTTTGCCGCAATAATATACAAGAAACATCACATCACCCGGTATAGATAGTATAGTAACCCTGAAAAATGCAGAATAATTAAATAAATTATCACTATCTTGGTGGGATTTAACTGTTCTATCTTTTTTAGGGTTGCTGTATTTGTTTTAGTTAAACCCTAATTTTCTTCGTTCTCCATGTCACTGTCTTGCTCCTGGGAGATTAGAGAGACCTCCACAGTGAGTTTCTCAGTGAGGTCGTTGCCTCAGTCGGTTTATGGGGCAATCCATAGACTGGTTTAAGGGAAGAAACAAAACAAAGGGTGATGTTAATTTACTGGATTCAGGAGAGGAAAGTTAAACACCTTGTCAAGCAGACTTTGGAAATGTTTAGATTGGGATTAGGGATTTACCCTCTGGTAGATTAACATAGAGCCTGAAACTAACCCAGTTTTAGTGGAAACCAATCTTCCAACCCCCAAAAAATCAATCTTCCAACCCCCAAAAGGGCAGGGTCGTCATGTTAATTTACTCGAGGGTAGTATATCCCATAGATTGGCTATATCCCATTATATCATATATCCCCATTGGTATCCCATTAGCATCCTCATGTTTCAATGATTTTAATGGTTACCCTCTGGTTCTTTAACATTGATGACATTGCTATGAAAATGGATAAACATTGCCCATTTAGTTCGATGATTCATGATGATTTGACTATATATATATTGATTGAACATGATGATTTTCCAGTTCGCTATGTGAAAAAAAAACATGATCCATGGGTTCATGTTTGGGACTCTCAATCATGATGAATCCATGGCTTACCTGTTTGCAGATCTATGTGAAAAAAATC